CCCCCCGCTTTTGTTTATTGTTTTCTCTTCTTTCTCCATTGACTATTTTCACTTTTTTCCCCACAATAACATAGTACTTACGCATGAAAACAGCCCTGGTCAGCTCCTTTCTGCAGCTGTTCCATTGTAAAGTGCCTCTTTGTTTGAGCTATTGTGCAACTGCTGGGATGGTGAAAGTGTCACAGTCTAGCGCTGGCCGTGAATTGAGGACTGCTGATGGGTTGGCCAAAAATGCGTAATAAATCTGCCACTGAACACAGGAAAAGAAATGGAAAATTAAGGGATGTTAAAGTGATTGGTTACTGTCACTGGATGTAAGCAGTAACAAATAATGTACTCATTAATAACATTCTGATTCAGTGATGCAACTGTGCATAGTAAATGTGGATTGCTGTCGGTTGTTTTTTCTGGCTTTCAAGGCCATGCATTCATTTTATTCTGAGCAGAAGTCATGCTACCCAGTACAGCTGCACTCTTACTTGTAACTCACATGTATGATACAAAGTAATCATTTAACTGATTGCTTTTTGGATTTAATGATCAGCAATAGATTACAGACTGCAACTGTAAATTACGCTGTAAAAGTGCTTCATAAAGCAGATTATTTTTGTTCAATTTTTGTTTGCATTCCACTGCTTGTAATAGAATTCTAACACTTTTCTAAAGAGTCCTGGCATAATTGTGTTGAAGTAAGTGCTGTTGCTGTGTGACAGTTTTCAAAATGAATGGTGTCTTTTCTAGGCTCCTTTTAATCACTAACTTTTTTTCATGAATTTGTCCATTGCCAGTAAGTTACTTATATCAAGATCTTTAATGTTATCTTGCGTTTTCTCTAATAACCCTACTCTGATTAGTATCAGCTACTAGATTTCAAAACTAGTCCTGTATTGATACACGTAGTATTAAAAATGAAGTTCAAACATCAAAAGTGTAAGTGACAATAGTAGTACTATAGAGTAAGAAAACTGCATTCAAAGTTGGTAATTTTAGTACTTCTATTAGCCCTTTTGAGGGTAAACTGAAACTTCCACTAACTAGTTTTGTTTTCACTTATTCTGAAATGATGTAATTTTCCAGTTATGTAGGCTATTGGCTACTGTTGACCAGAAAAAATAGATTTCAAAGTTTAAAGTACTCTGAGTTTCAACCAGAAGTTTTACTTATAGGACAATACATGGCTTGATATACAATGCTCTGAAACTCTTCATGGAGATGAACCAAAAACTGTTCGATGACTGCACACAACAATTTAAAGCAGAAAAACTGAAGTAAGTTTTCATGTCAGTGTTGTCTGTCTGTTCTTGAATAATTTGTTCAGAGTGCTTTAGCTCTGAAAAACTACTGTCTTTAGTTGGAAGTTGTGCCCATTTGATTACAGTGCAACAGTCTCAAAATTGACTTGGTGAAACTTACAGTTCATATATAATGAGAAAATCTTAAGAATAGGATGCTTCATGTAGTCTTTGGCCTAATACTGCTGGGGGTCACCATCTTCCTAAAAATTTTTTTTTTTTTTTGAGAGGGACACTGATAATCGTGGAGCCTGGTGTAAAAGATCTGTTAAACAGTTTCGTTTACATCCTGTGTTTATTTTAGTATGCTTTATTTACCCAGCGTTATTTTCTTTCATGTTGTCACTCAGTTCTTCCCAAAACACTTTTCTGGTATTTTTCAGCATTGCATTGTGTGTGAGCACATGTGCATGTTTTTCTAAAAATTACCCAAAATAAAGTTGTTACTCTACTGTAATACAGGGTGTTTGTACATTATTTGCCAGAAGAATTCTGCTGAGTTTAGTATATTCTTGCATAGGCGAGTGAACAGAGCAGGGATTTGGAAGCTAGAATTTTTCTGTTTTATGCCCAAAAATGCAGATAACTTTTATGATCATATATCACGTATCTTCTGTTCCTCTATTTCCAATTTTGTTAAATAGACATAATTTTTGAATATTCGGTTATTATAAAGCCTACTAAAGTGAGATTGAGAAGTCAAAAATATTAATGGTTTGGCTCTCATTTTAGGGGCTGGAGAACATAGTTAGAAAGTGGGTACTGAAAATACCTGGATTTTAATTTTGTTTTTAATTTCAAAGTGTACAGGTATTCCTTCAACTAGTGGTTCAAATTATTTTAAACAAATATACTGGAAGTAGTACAGATTCTTAATGTAGATTGATTTGTCCAAGTTTTGAAGTTCCTTATTACAGTTTAAGTAGAAATTAGCTTGTAGTATAACAAATTTTTACGAGATATGTGTCTGTGATTGTAGTGGTGTATTCACACACCCCCTTTTTCTTCCCTGGGACACTTTAAGCGGCCTCTAAACCACTTATTCACAATAGTGTTTATAGATAACAGAATGTGAGCATTTGCTTTGTAAAAAAAGACTGTGTAAGTCTCTCCTCCCTAACAGAAAATAAGTAGAATCCCTTTTAAATGGGAAAGCAATCTTCTCTTCTCTGTTTTTGGGGGTTTTTTTGGGTGGCGTTTTGAGTGTGAACTAAGGCAGACACAGTGCTGGGTGACGTAACAACAAAACAAAACTACAAAAATCCCCCACCACACAAGAACTGAAAAGGGTGTGGTTAAAGAGTTCTTCCACCCTAGCCCAAACTTAACTTAATTGAGATTTGGAGGCAAATTGTGTATGTGCTTGAATATAACTGCTTTACTGCTTTTTTTTTTTTTTTTTTAAAACATTTGGATCATCTGCTCTATGCATTGAAGCCTGAGAGCATTTTTGGCACTCTTAAGCTAAAAGCCCTTTTAAAGTCTGCCACCTTTCAAAGACAGATGTTCATTCTAGTCTCTGCAATAAGTTTTTTACCTGTAAGAAAGAAATGAGAAAACCCCTAGATTTTACCATTTTAAATTACATTAGGCATAAGGAAACAGACCTTTCCTACTTTAATTTAAAAAGAAAAAAAAAAGCATCCCATGTCATCCCTGTTGGCTTGTGACTCCCTTGAATGAGTGTGGTTTTGTCAGGTACGTCCCTGATAGTGTTCAACTCAAAATGTCTCTGGGCCTTTTCCTTTAAACTATTACCTGAAGCCATTGAGCTGACCGTAAGAACTTCTGCCCCTTTTTTATGGTCAGATATTAGTTTGTTATGTTTCAATATAGAATTCAAATATTATAAAGTTAAAACACAAACACACTTTCAACATAGATCAAGACTTCTTTCTGTTTTAATTTTAACTCTTTTAACAATGTACAGTTATTAAACTGGTATCAGCCAGTTTGTTGCTTTCATGAGAAAATACAAGTTTTTTTCCCTTTTAATGTTGCTTTGTGATCATGGGGTATTGATATGATGCAAACTATCCTGTCAACAGTAAGTGATATTTTGGGCAGTAGGCTAAAACAGGCATAGCTAAATAATTTATTCTGTTGAATTCTTCTAGTGAATTTCTTCATGTTTAAGAAAGTATGCAAGTTGTGATGCAAGATTCACCAAGCTTCTTTTGCCATTTTTGTTTCTAATTTTTTTTTTCAGAGAGAAGCTAAAATTGAAGGAACGAGAAGAAGCATGGGTTAAAATAGAAAATCTAGCCAAATCAAATCCCCAGGTATTTAGAAAAGATTAACATGTTCATGTTTAAATACTTTAGTTTTGTTAAATATCAGTGGGGGAAACAGGTCTGACTGATCATGGAAATAAAGCAATTTCACTAATTGTATTATGAAAGATATACAATAAAAGTACTTTTAAAATTTGTAACCTTTCTCTTGTGCAAGTAATTATTTTTTTAAAAAAAGGTTTCTGGAAAGTATGATATGAAGTACTTTTTCCTTTTCTTATAATAGGAGATATACTGTATTGCGGTTTGAAAAGTTATTGTGCAAAATTATGGAAAATATAGAGATGCCATAATTGGTTTCTCTTGAAAAGCTGTTTTGCAAACAATATATTACAAAAGAGATCTTTCTGCAAACTGTGAGTTATGACTGGTTAGTTTTCCTCTGTGTCAAATGGATTAAAGTAATATTGTACGGTTTTGTCTGCTGCATTTGTTCTCATACTTGCATTGGGCCGGTCTTCTGGTGAACCTGCACCTTAGGTTCTTACTAAAAGGAAAACATCCTGCAGGCATTACTTGATGTAATTGAAATTTTGATAAAGAAACAAAGGTCCTTTAGACTATTCATTATATTTTGAAATTATGGGAGAAGGGGATGGTTTGGCTTGGTTCCCCCCCCTACTTAATTTGCTTGGAGAATACTGCCAGTTTTCCTTTATCTCAATCATACTGATTGCTGCTATGGGCAAAAAAACCCCAAACATTTCAATTACTTTGCAGCCAGAATTTTACTATACTGCAGCAATAAACTTACTGTACTGTATCTTTCCAACATCGTGTAGCTGGGTTTAAAGTGGTGGAAGATGGAGTAACGGTACTCTATAAACAGAAGTGGGACACTTTATGATTTCAGTGCTATTTTAAAACAAAGTATGGGGTCATCTTTTTTCTAAGAAGGAGGAATTTCATAAATGTTTTTTCCTCTTGTGGCATTTCTCAGGGAACAATTACTCAAGTAAAATTTGTTAAAATTAAGCAATATGTCAGTTGACAACAGATCAGTTAAATTAATCAAAAAAAGAACCATTCATATGAAAGCAGCAATTGACTTTCCATGACAAAACATTCCTCTAATCAGATAAGCCATACAAAAGCTTTGCTTGAAGAGTACTTGATATACATGGTCATTTGCTGTCAAAAATTATGAAGTATTGCATGTCTGGCTAAATAAGGGGATTGACTTGTAGAGGTAAACTTTAGAGTTCTACAGTGTAAACCACCTTTTCTTCCCAAATAATTTTTTGTAACTGTGTACATTTTCTGAAACTGGTTAACACGACCTGTATACAGTATTTTCTGCATAGTATGCTTGAAGAGACCTAATAATTGGAAGCAATTTAAAATAAAAATTATTAATTTGAACACTGAGTGCTCGACTGAATTGACGTAAGGATATAAATGCTTTTAGCACTCTATGTAACGGATTTTTAAGGTTGTTTTTTCCCTGGAATTTCTATTAACTTTTTAATTTGTCTAATTACTGACAATTCTTGTTGTTCAAGAGCTATTCCTGACTCTGCATGACACAAGAATACACTTTAAGATTTTAGATCATGATAATTAAATTCATTAAATCCTTGCTGTCAGTTTTTTCTATTTTGTCTCATCTGCATTAAGTTATTGGTACACTCAGGTACTAAAATATTTGTGAGGAAAAATGGATGAAAAAATGTGTGTGTGTTTGTAAATGAATTTTGATTTCAAGACCACATACACCTCATCTGAATTAAAATAGAATTTAAAATATTGAGAGTGCTGTGTAGTAAGCTTTAGGTACTATGTAAGTGTTTCTACAAGGTGTTTTTTTATTCCCAAAAGACTTCTATGGCTGTTCTACTTTCTCAAGACAAAAAGGTTTAATATTTTATTTTGAAGTTATTTTAAATGTATATTAACCATATTTGGCCTTTTAACAGTGTATTTTCTCTTCCAACACAAAATTGCACCAGAAAGTAAAATCATTGTGTTTGGGTTGCTACACTGTTCACAAATCAATAGACAATGTATTAATGAGGTTTCAGATAAGTGATTGCCGAAGTGGACATGCAATACGAGCAAAATCTGAATATTTTAAAATTCAGTCTCAGATAATCAAAGCATATTTTTTGTATTCTGACTGTGTTTTTCAACAGGACACTTCTGCCAAGTGAAAGTATTGGAGTTCCATTTTAAAATGTATTAACTTGGTGCCTGGAAGCATAAGATACTGAAGCTAATCTCAAATAACTAATCATAGCATTCAAATGCTCAAATACACTCTTAGTATTTAGGTATTATTACTAAGAATGATTATTTTAACACTTTGCATTTTATTAGTACCCAGTATATAGTGACACGAGTTTGCTGAACAGTCCTGTTGCAATGGAAACAGATGGGCCTTTAATTGAAGATTTGCAGATGCTGAAAAAGACAGTGAAAGAAGAGGCTTGTCAGGTAAAGCCATGTGAAGATAACAAAGTACTCTAAATTATGAATTACTTTTTTTTTTTAAGCAACTGTTAATCCAAGACATAAACTAGGGTTATATTTTCAGCTGTGTAACCATTTATCCTAAAGTAACAAGCTTCATTACAGCTGCTACTTTTAAGTGATACTGTAGCAGCCAGGAATACAGTGTTACATTTCTAATGCCTGTGAATCTGCTGTATGATCTCTTTTGACGCTACTTCTACAGAAAGTTTCATTTTCTTTTCACTTAGAAATAGCTTTTTGTGTCATGATGGGAACAATGATTATGCCTTAAGGATAGTTAAAAATATGGATAAAATCTACCACATCATGTTCTATTCTCTTCTCTGTATAACAGATTTGTTTTTTCATAAGGAAAACTTGTATAAAATATAGTCAGATTCTACTGATGACATTTTTGTTTGTTTTTTATTCAGAGCCTCCTTAGTGGCTAAAGCTACTATGTTTTGAAAAAATGTATAAAGTGTGCGTTTGTCTTGCCCACTCATGGGTCGTCTTCCTCAGTCCACCATCTGTCATGTTCCATTACCTGCTGCAGGGCAAGGACTCTCAAGGTCATTCCAGTCTTTTCATCTTTAGCTAATACTTAGTGATCTTCAGGTATTTTTAATTTAACTTCGGTTAAGTGGAACCAGAATCCTGGAAAATGGAGATGTGCCAGGGAGCATTGCAGTATCACTAAGATATCTGGTAGGAATATCAGTAATGTGAATATCTTTAAATCCAGCAAAGCTTAAGACCAGCGAAATGATCTGGAGCTGAAAAACTGGTTGAGATCGGAGATAAAGTCTGTTAATTTGAACCAATGTATCAGACAAGAAATTTAATAAAAATAAGCATATGGTCAACCTAACCTCCTATGTTACTTCCTTAAAATTCCAGTGTCATTATCCTCCAAGATTATATTTTATTTATTATTTGTACTATGGTATTTTGGATGAAGGTCAAAATCAAAAGAAATGCTGGAATGCCTCCAAGACATGCTCAGTGATTGCTGTTTTTTAAACACATCTCTGGAGTGGAACCCTATGCATTGCATGTAAATCTTGGTGGCTGAATTACATGCCTATCCAGGGCAATGAATGAGGGTAGCATTCCCCTGAATGGGAATGCTGGTTAGAGCTAGTCAGGGAAGAGCACTGGGCTTACTAAAGTTTCTAAACTTCTGCCTTTCTTCAGACCTTGGATAGCTTAGCCAGGCCCACATGATGGGGAGAGGGTCCTCCCTTCACTAGCTCCAGAGCCTACAACCAGTTCTAGTGGAGAAAGCTACATTGATTATTGAAAGGTACAAAGATTATTGGAAAAAAATGAGTACTGCTTAATTTTATGATTGTGTTGATGGTAGTGTCCATCTCTTACTATGCTATTTCCCAGCACATAACCATTTTCTCAAGATTTATGAGACCTTCATTCACTTTCCATCCTGGGCAGAGGTAATTAAAACTCATACCTCCTAACTCTGAGTGCTCTGACATTAGTTCTAGAAGAAAAGCAGCCAAAGTATGACTATATACTAGTAGTTGGGATAAGGAGTTAAGAACAAAGTTCCCAGTCCCAGCTGCTGGAAGTGTTTGGGGATTTGGGCCAGTATTATACAACATAAAATGCGCAAACAGTAGTGGCAGCCTGAACTAAAACCAAGGATTCTACCTAGGTCTTACCTTCTTTTCTACAAAGAATTCAGCTTCGAGAGCTATAATGTTGGGGCTATATACAGCTTCAACAATAACGTTCCAGCTGGAAAATGAGTGCATCAAATTCCTATGGATGAGCTTGATTTTCCTCCCCTTCCCCTCCCCGGGTCCCAATTGTTAGAAGCGGTGGGGATTTAAAAAGGGACGCTAATGGAAAAGAAGCAAATCTTGAACTAAATCAAATTCTGAAACTTGGGTTGGAACTGTTTAAGCATTCTTTAGCCATCTCTCCAAGTGCATGCTTTCTTGCTTTTCCTTGCTTAGAAAGTGTGCAAGAAGTAAATGAGATGATTAGAAGGTTATAAGCCTGTTTTTCAAAGATAAAGGTCCTGTCCGAGCAGAGCTAATAGAACGGTTTGAAACAGGAATTCTTATTATTACAAAAACTCAGAGAAATCTGTGAGAAGTATAAAGTATAAATCAATCAAGAGGATTGATAAGTCTGGGTCACCAAGCAAGAAAAGCATTAAGGATTAGGGTATTGCAAAAAGAAAGCTAGGTAGCATTCTTGCACCAGTCTTTGAGAGGACACTGGACAGTTAGTTATGTATTCCTTGCTAAGTACCATCAGAAATTGGTGCTAAAACAAGAAGGTATTACAGTTACCAATTTAAAAAAAAAAAAGGCAAGTCAAAAGGACAGCTTAGTTTATTTTTTAAATAAAACTTCAGAAGTGAGGAACTGTGTAACGATCTACACAGTTTTGGTGAAAGTAAGTTTTATGCCAGAGGTTAGCAATGTAGCAGAATGTCCATACTGAAGAGGTGATGGAATGACTGACGAAAGTAGACCAGGAATTTTTTTCTATACCAGATTATGTGAGCATTTTTAGTGAATACTTTTTGCTACAAATAAAACCTGACCACCACGACTTACTAACTTTTTGAACATGCTAGTAAATCAATGGCTAAGTAAAAGCCAATCAGTTTTTACAAGGACTTTTTTAATAGAAGAACATGAATAAACATCATAGATCTAACAGGCAAATTAGGGTAGGTGAGACAGACATGGGGATAAAGACACCATTACATAGTTTCAGGATACTCTGATGGGATACTCTCTGGTTTTGAGAACGCATCAGTAAAATAATACAGCAGAACCTTAAATTTTCATATATGTGAATAGTAGGGGTAATTAGAAGCATGGAAAAAACTTAAGATCATTTATCTTACATGTAGAGACATACAAAATTAAAAATAAGTGAGAAGATAGATGATAATTTTATTTTCAAAAATGTTGTGAAGTGATAATCATGGTAGTAATGTCATGATTGCTAATAGCTTAGAATTTGTTAGTTGTTTCTAATTTTTCCTCTTAGCAAAAAAATGGTTTCGAGACTTGAAACTGGGTAGCTGGTGGCGTAAAGAGGAGAAAGTATAAACTTTTTCCCGTATGTTTTTTATTTCTCTTCCCATAAGTGAACATACTGATGTGCAAGAAATATTTTTAAGTAATTGTTTAGTAATTAAAATTTTTGGCCAACTTTGTCCTATTTTTATTTCAGGCACAGAAAGATCAGAAAAAAGATCGTCCTCTTGTGCGACGCAAGTCAGAACTGCCTCAGGATATCTATACCATGAAAGCCTTGGAATCACATTGCAGAGCTGATGAATTAATATCACATGATGGGCATTAAACTATTACAGTGAAATATTATTTTGGAGGAAAAGGTTTTTTTCTGGACTCAGTTCTACAGTAGAACTTACTTTTTTGTGCCATACCAATCAGTTACACACAACTCTTTTCAACCCAGTTCTGTAGGCAATAACTTAATAGAGTATGCAGCTCAAGATTAGTAGTTCAAACAATGGTAAATTACCCAATTCCATATGCAGAATATTGGGTTGACTATAATCAAGTGGACACGATTTCCTAGAGGTGTTATCATAGTACCAGCTAGCTGATAAACATGTAGTTTTTATAGTCATATTTGAGAAGAGCATTCTATAAACTCTTTCTAAGTGAATGACCAATAGTTGGTACTAATGATAAATGTGTGTTTTCAAAAATAAAATTATTTCAAATTTAAGTATTAACTTTTTCTAGGATTTCTCAACTTTACAGTTTTTTCCACATTATTGCTGTCTTGTAATATGCCAGCAGTTTTAAAAATACGCAGTTATTCTTTCGTATTATAAAACATGGCTTACAAACTGGTAACTTTCATGACAATCCTCAATTATCATTCCTTTCTAAGAATTCTGTAAATTTATTTCTCCTTTACTTAGGATAAAGATATATATCTATATATACCATGTCCTAATACTTTATGTATATTTAAAGCCATATTTTCCAGTCTTTAGTGTATAATACAGCACCAGTATTCCAGATATGAACTGATAGAAGAATTTTTCCTAAAATGAAAATTTCTTTACTATGACTGGGAATAGACTGAATATAAAATTTCATTTTAAGTTTTTTCAAGTCAATAAAATACTCTTTCACTGTTTTCTCCCTTATCTGAGCTTTTAATACTCAGCATTTTTCTTGGGCTCTAGGAGTTCAATATTCTGTGACAGATACTATGCGTGACTTCAGTTGCATCCATTTTTATCTAAAAGATGAACATAACCTTTCAGGAAACACAACATCAGAAGCTTATTAAAATAAGAAAAAGAACAGACCCTTGAATTCCATTCTGCTTCTTTTTAAATGAGTCTAAGAGCTGAGGAGATAGTGACCGCATTTTTACCGTGAAAATATCTTTTGTTGTTGTTGTAAAGAGCACATGTGCTGCAAATACACCTCACAAGTGAACTGAAAATGCATCTGAGTTGCTGATGATCTTCAAATGCTGCTATATATTCCACAAGATTACTTGCATGTAATGAGCTTTTTGTTGTAGATGGAAAAGCACGGGAGGAAAATCTCTTTAAAAATATAGTGCTTTGTCTTCAATATTTGATTTCTCTCAGGGTGGCCAGTATTTTGACTTACTTATCCTGCTTACAAGCTGTTTGAAATGTGTTCTGCAATCCTAAATGGGCGATTAGTTTCTTTTGTCTCGACAGTAACATGATATAACTTAATGTTTAATGTCTTGATGCATAAAGAGATAAAAATGTGGCTTCTTTAAAAATAGTTTTGTTTTACTTTTTAAGGAAGTATAATGTCTCCTGCATCCCTTAAAAAAAAAAAAAAAACGCGCAAAGCAGACATTCATAGTAACCTTGTGCAGAAGTAGTGCCTGCTGTTTGTTGGTTGCATTTAACATTCAATTTCCAATATTTGTTACGTTGTCTATTGGAAGAAAATAGTGGGTGGTAAATATTGGCTTACAACAACTAAATTTAAAGACCAACCCAACCTTTAAGTGGAATGTCCACTGTGTCTGAAAACATTTCCTGTAAAACTTGAAAAAGAATATGCTTTACCATTAGGATAAACTATATTAAAACAGTTTAAAGATGCCTTCTCCTTTTGAGGGAAAAAGGGTGCTTTTTTAATTGTGTAAAGCAACGTCTATGTATTTTGATATACCATTGTTTGAACTTCCATCTTTAGCTGGTAGATTATCAGTTACCTTTGATTTTGGGTGTTCAGTATGTTTGTGCAAGAGGTTGTTGAAAGGAATTATTCTTATGTTATCCGAGCGGAAAAAAAAACAAACTGTATATCAATGTTTGATTGATTGTGTGATGCTCAAAGTATAAGAACATCTTTCACTGTCTAGATTTTATTTCTGTTCTTTATTGAAGATAAACACTCACCAAAAAGGGAAATATTACGGTATTTTTAAAGGCTTAAAGTTCACCATAAATTCATACTTGAAGTTTTGGGCCACTGAACATTTACTTAGGCAATATTCCAAAATCTATCACCACTAATGGTTTAGCATGTTTATTATACTTCTTACAATCCTGTACTAAACAATTCAAAAACTAATACATCCAAAATAAAAAGAAAAATTAAAGTAGAATTTTGGTGACTGTTGTTCTTCATAAAGTTCTGTCTGACACCTTCCCCCATTTTCCAAAATTACACCTGTACATCAGGAATGTCAAAAGTAATATTACAAGTGTCTTTTTAGTGTGGCTTTAGTATGGCTTCATTTTAATATTGTACATACATTGTACCTTGTTTTATGGTAATAAGTAATAAAAATGTAGACTTCATATTTTGTACAGAATCGTCCTATGTACAGAATAAAAAGTTCCTAGAAACAGCAAAAATAGGTAAGTGGCACAGTTATTTTTCATTAGACAATATCTGTAACATTATGCGTTAGTGAAATGTTAAGTTCAAATGTACCTACATATTTTTTAACATTTTGTAATTCAATTTTTTGTTCTGGCATTGTTTCTGAAGAACTTCATACACCTGCCATTTAATATGCTTTTATCTAATTTTAAAACTTTAAAAAAAAAAATGGTGTATTATATGGACAAATAAAGAACATGTGAATTTTACTTGCTCATCATGAAACTAAATTTAGTACAGGGTGTTTGGGGGTGTGTTCAGATTATCATTGTTTGCAGAATCAGCTGTACAAATTAAAATAAATTCATAAATTTCACAAAAGCAAAAAAAAAAAAAAAAATTACGGAAAGGCCATAAACAAAAAACAGGAATAATGGATATTCAGTAGAATAAGCAGACTTAACTTTTAGAACAACTATCAGTACTGAAAGGAATTTGATAAATCTCCAGTCTACAAATATGAAAAGATGCACCTTTCATACCATGGGATTTTCCCCTGTAACACTTCTATATTGGCAGGCTTCAAGCAAAGTAGCCATAAAATTAGGGGTTATAGTGTGGTGGGTGATACGTGTTCAGGTGGCAAGGATGTAAGAAAAAACTTAAGTTAGCAGTAGGAACTGTCTCCCTCTGGAATCCATGAAAGTCTCCAAAAGAACTAAGGAAACTACTCACATAAAGCTGACTTTCAATAAGTGGTGGGTTGGGGGTAGGGGGGCCATGTGTGTGTAGGCTTGGGATCAATATCTGACTACTGACTTGACTTATAAATGTAAGAGTTTTGAGTTATAAATGAAGCCTTTGTGTACTGAAAGAAATAGCTTTCTGCATAAGCTCAGAAGTAAACTCATTGCATGCACTCCCAAGCTTAATCATGAATCAAAAAACTAGATATTGAAACAGCTGAGGATTCAGTTGTTCAGTTTACAAAATTAGGATCAAACACCTCTCAAAATATAATGTTTTAAAATACTAGTGGTAGTGACATTTTTTTCTATATAAATACCTTATTGAGTTGCAAGCATGTTCAGGAAGTGAACTTTAATCCTTTCTCTCTAAGGAATTAAGCTCAGGGGCTTTGACCAACAACCTTTTTTTTGGCATTGCTTGCTTGGTTTGGCTTTTTAGAAGATGGCAGTGTAGCACAAGTATGCTTGTGTCTGGAGGTTTGTTGCTTTGCTTTATGGAAACTATTTTAGCACCTTAGAAATGGGGCTTACAGGAGATACCTACGACTCCAGGTTACCCAGAATATTGTTCTGGATCCCATTATGGACCATCCACCTAAAAGTGGAGCATTTCTGCTCCTTGAATCTTGTCCTTAACTGTGCATAATGATTGTGGAGACTCAGACTGCATATAGCTAATTAAGAAATGCCATTCTAATTACCATATCACTGTCTCCCTGGATTATAGTTTCTTTTATATGATGAGACTTGGCTTGAGCTGTCTTTACTTTATGAAATAAAACTTTGATGTAGTTAAAAATTTTGTATGAAAAATTTCCCAAGGGAGAATTTACTGTGGAGCTAAAGAAGATAATACATTATTCATTCCTTACATAATTGAAGAGCAGCATGACTGCAGCTGGCTTTCTCTGAGCCCAGTCATATTGGGACTGCGCACATGAAACATGAAGTTTCATAAGCATCGACCCTATGGTGTTGAGGGGAGAGGGCTTCCACTGTCTTGCTACAAGGGTTAGAAGGATATTCACATAATCTGCCTCAAGCTATTTAAAGCATTTTTGTGATTCAGAAGACCACACTAAGAGCGTTCATGCTAGCATGAAGACCTTACCATAGTAATTTTTCTAGTACTCTGGCTATAGAATTGGAGATGCAAGAGGATTAGAGATGGGAAAGCAAGTGATTTGCTCTGATTGTTGCTTGTTTGGGTTTTTTGCTTTGTTTTTGGTCTCAAATACTACCGAATTATTAATATAGGAAATATAGGGAAAAAAATGTTTTTCTGGAGTTTTCTTTTATAACTTGTGCAAAAGGTTTTCTTTCTACATATGTTGTGTGGCATTTGCTAGGAGCAAATCTTGTCTGTCTTGACAAGTCCTAGTTCTCATTCTGATTCTCTGAAATACTTATTTTTAGTTAAATTATAGGGGAAACATGTCATATTGGCCATCTTGCCTTTTGGATGGCTGATTTCAATGGCTTCTCGCATACCTGTGAGAAGGGCTGGGTCCTTTATGTATCCAAGAAAAGGACATTCAGAATTAACTAGAGGTAGATCAGGGCAAACTATTTTTCACGCCGATTGAGCAAGCTAAAGCCTTTTCTCTTCATAGGCTTTAACTGAACATGAGAACTTGTGCAAAAAGCTAGTTTATCTTGTCTTTGCTTCGATTTCCTTTAACTTGATTTACAACATCTTCCTTCTGCCCCCTTTGGCACAGTAGATAAGGCTGAAGTGATTAAAGGAATACAAAGTGTCTTACCTACACTGGCTTTTAGTTGTAAGTAGCCTAGCATTTAAATACCAGAATCCTAGACTTGTTCTTTATACCATAAAGTCTTGTCGTACATGGAGTATTTCTGGTTTTAAAGCCTACAGTAAGATGATGCTTGGGGTTTTTTGACCCTGCTTTCTCTGCAATTCGGCAGCAATGTATATAAATAATTACTTGAATTCTTACTTCCTATCTCTGTCCTGCTTTCTTCTTTTTACTTCCTTACTTTACTTTCCTTAATCTAAGTTTTTCTGGCAGCAATTTTACAGCAATGAAATACTGTGTCTTGCTTTGTAAGCTACAAAAATTTTGTGACGTTTTGGTGCAGCAGATTATGGCTGGTTTAGAAGAATGAGAATGCTAGCACTTGGAACCGTAGCTTGAGCTAACCTCCTAAGAGATGCCAGGTTACACTCAAGACCTATCTAGGTTGCTTAAGAGTATTACCAACACCCTTTTAATGAACATCCTGAAGGGCAGGATGTTAATTTAACCTGTGGTTTTTGTATGCTTGGCCTGTACTGACACTATGTGGATTAAGAAGTAGATAATTCTCCCCCCATTGGAAAGCAGTCAGGCAGGACCAGATGCGGGGTAGCCTAGCAAAGATAGCTCTTTTTTTCATATTAAATGTAATCCTAAAACATAACCTGTATGTAGAAGAATGATAGGGTGTGAGCAAACTAGACTTCGGAAAATGGAAATAGCTGAGTGTTGTATTAAACACTATCTCAGTAACTATATTCTGTAAATAGAATATTCAGATGAGTATCTGCCACTGTTTTTCTTCATCAAAAATAAAATTTACTTTTCTAATAAAGTTGGGGCGGGGGGGGTGAAAATTAAATGCTTTTGATTGGTTTTCAGTGAATCACCTCTATCAGTTCTGGTGCTTGTGGTTGAAACTTGGTTGCTGAACAGGTCACTTTCCTTCCACACAAGAAGGTTTGAAATTTCTATTACTTAAGAAGTCAGTGTTTTTTCAAAGTTAAACTGGACTCCTAAACCCCCTAGGAGCCTAATTGGGCATAGGCATGCTTTTTTTCCAGGTAGAAACTGGCCTTTCTGGATTCCTAGTATCCTAGCTGGACACACATGCTTTAATGCAGAGTTACACTTATGTAGAGGCTTACAGGTCAGGACTTCCTTTGTCAGGCAGGATATCCTACCCCAGCTTCCATATTTCTTGTGCAATACATCTGAACAGATCTTGGGCGTGAGGGTCTCTGTGCATTTGCCTTGTGTATCCACCTGAGGAAATGCATGTGGGGTTTGGAGGCAGTTTTATGTAATTTGTTTGCTTGTTTTTCTTTTTTGGGTGACTTCCCGTTCTCCCCCTCCAATATGAACAAGAACTGGCGTTTTCATTGCCCAACAGCCCCAGTGTACTTTTTGGGAATCAGTGGAGTTGCTTTGGGACTTTGCTGCCACTTCCCCTCTCCCAGGCACCTTCAAATACCAGCCAGGACCAGGTGCGGGAGGACACTAGTTAGGGCAAGGAGGAACAGGAGCGTCCATCTCAGCGGCAGAGAGCTAAACTCATCTAATACCTTAGATCAGTCAAACACACACACTGGGATATGGCAGGCACGTATGTGGCAGCTGTAAAAGAGCTTTAAGGATTTTGAAAAACTGGATGAGGAGAAGTCCCCTTCTCACTGCTGTGCTTTCAGTCCCTCCTGTGTTCTTTATGTCCTATGCTTTCGCGAAACCATCTCACAAAAGACTGGGATTAATGGTTCTGGTGCTGGATTCACTAAACTGATGATGAGCTATAAAGCATCCAAGTAAAAGGGTAGGGTGTTGCTCTTCACTGAAGAGAAGCCGTGTCTAATCTGCCCCGGATAGTGACAAGCTGGCCTGCTGCTTTCTTCATGGAAAAATGTTCTGATGGCTTGTGGGTCTATTTTTCACATGAAATAAACATTTTTCTCCTTTGGACAAATGAGCCTCGGGGCTGCTTTATCTTGCAGGTAACGGGGCGGCAGTAGCAGAACACGTCTCACCCGGGCTGTGCTGCCGGGGGCAGTGGCAGCGGCGCGGGGGGGTGACAAGCTGGCCTGCTGCTTTCTTCATGGAAAAATGTTCTGATGGCTTGTGGGTCTATTTTTCACATGAAATAAACATTTTTCTCCTTTGGACAAATGAGCCTCGGGGCTGCTTTATCTTGCAGGTAACGGGGCGGCAGTAGCAGAACACGTCTCACCCGGGCTGTGCTGCCGGGGGCAGTGGCAGCGGCGCGGGGGGGGACTTTTCCTTTCCCTCGCCGCTCAGCTGCCGCGCTCTCCTTCCCGAAGAAACTACTCGAATAAAACACTTGTT